CTATTAAATCCGTCGATAAATTTGTATCATTTTAAAAAAAATATATATATCGATATCTTTAAAAAGTGACTCCAAAGCACCAAATTACTAACAGCTAATTATTCCGATAAGCAGAAAACATCAAAATAGTTGCCAAAGATGCGCATAAGTAAAACAATACTTCTCAACATGTCAAAATGTCCTCTTGTGGCAAGCTTGCAGAGCAACGTTGGCACAAGCTTGCTGCAAGTCTGCAAAACTTAATACGATGCGCAGTTATAAACGGAAGCTCCTTCGGCCGTGCAATAAATTTTTCAACCTCCAAAGCAAGGTGCCCGCATGGTTCGTTTTCAGTTTGTTTCTCAAATTCATGCAAAGATACACGAGGCCGCCCTATCAATTCCGAACGTCATTCGGCTTATCCACTACATTATGCATATGTGTGTAGCTTAACTTTTTTAATTAACTTTTTTTAAGCTTTAAATTTTGAAAAAGTTAAAGTTAACTATTTGAAAAGTTAAAGTTAACTTTTGGAAGAGTTATATGTAAAAAGCATGTAAATATTTGAAAAGTTAAAGTTAACTTTTGGAAAAGTTAAAGTTAAATTTTGGAAAAGTTAAAGTTAACTATTTGAAAAGTTAAAGTTAACTATTTAAAAAATTAAAGTTACCTATTTGAAAAGTTATAGTTAAATTTTGGTAAAGTTATATGTAAAAAGCGTGTAAATATTTGAAAAGTTAAAGTTTACTATTGGAAAAGTTAAAGTTAAGTTTTGGCGAGACGACTGCTTTTCCCCGAAAGGACAAAATGTCGAATGGACAAAACGTCGAATAGCAAAACGTCGAATGGACAAAATATCGAAAAGCCATAATGTCGAATGGGCAAAATGTCGAAAAGTCAAGACGTCACATAGTCAAAACGTCGAACGGACAAAATGTCGAAAAGCCAAGACGTCGAACGGACAAAATGTCGAAAAGCCAAGACGTCGAACGGACAAAATGTCGAAAAGTCAAGACGTCGCATAGTCAAAACGTCGAATAGCCAAGACGTCGAACGGACAAAATGTCGAATAGCCAAAACGTCTAATAGCCAAGACATCTAATGGACAAAATGTCGAAAAGTCAAGACGTCGAAAAGTCAAGACTGCGAATGGACAAAACGTCGAATGGATAAAATATCGAACCGTCAAAATGTCGAAGTGTCACAATGTCGAATAGTCAAGACGTCGAATGGTCAAAACGTCGAATGAATAAAATGTCGAATAGGCAAAACGTCGAATGGCCAAAAAGTCGAATGGCCAAAACGTCGAATGGACAAAATGTCGAAATGTCAAGACGTCGAAAAGTTAAGACTGCGAATGAACAAAATGTCGAATGGACAAAATATCGAATGGCCAAAATGTCAAATGAACAAAATGTCGAATATACAAGACATCGAATGGTCAAAATATCGAATAGCCTAGACGTCGAATGGATAAAATGTCGAAAAGGCAAGACGTCGAAAAGTCAAAATGTCGAAAAGCCAAGACGTCGAACGGACAAAATGTCGAATAGCCAAAACGTCAATAAGTCAAAATGTCGAATGGCCAAAACGTCGAATGGACAAAATGTCGAAAAGTTAAGTCGTCGAAAAGTCAAGACTGCGAATGGTCAAAATGTCGAATGGACAAAATATCTAACCGTCAAAATGTCGAATTGTCAAATTGTCAAATAGTCAAGACGTCGAATGGTCAAAATGTTGATTAGTCAAAACGTCGAAAAGTCAAAATGTCGAAAAGCCTAGACGTCGAAAAGTCAAAACTGCGAATAGACAAAATGTCGAAAAGTCAAGACGTCAAATGGTCAAAATGTCTAATGGACAAAATATCGAGACGTTATTTTGCTCTGAGTTTCCCTTCTATATAATGCACACGTGTTTGTTGTTGCGTTTAACACTCGATAGATATCGCTAGTTGTATTGTTTTTGATGTGTCGTGTTTGATGTAATGTTTGGATTTTATCTTTCAAATTAATATTATTCTGTATTTTGTTTTAAAAATTTAATAGTTTTGAAGTGCAAAGTATTAAAAAGTGTCACATTGAATTTTTTTGTTTTCTTTTTTAAGGTTAAATAAAATTTGCTACAGAATGAAATCTAAATTTGTTTGCATTCTTTATTTTTTGTTAATCCAGTTTTTTTCTTTTATTAATATATGGCACTTAAAATTATTTATTTGTAAGTTTCAAAAATTTTTTATTGTTAATTAAATTTTCTCTTTCAGTTTAATTTTTTCATGTCATTAATAATATAAAAAAAAAAGTTCACTATTTGAAACCATATTATTTTTTAAATATAATCGAATAACTGTTTAAAATTAAAAGTTTGTATTTATAAAGATAAAAAGAATAATTATTCTCATGTCAAAAAATTTGTATTATTATTATTATTATTATTATTATTATAAAATGTAAAAAAAACATTAAAAACGATTAAAATTTTATTTTTATTTTGATAAATATTTACTATTTCAGAAGTTAAATTTTAAAGAAATGTTAACTTGAAGAGAAAAAGATAATAATGATTATTGTATTCCAACTTATCATCATCAATTACTGTAAATTGTATTTTTGTCTAACAATTATTTTAATTAAAATGAACGCAGAACATACGTATTAAATCATATCAACAATATTAATAAAATTACTTGATCATCATATTAAATATTTAAGTAGTATCACAATTTAATTCTCCTTATCCTTATTTATTAATTTTAATATATGTTTTTGTGAATTGTGTTGTATCTTGAATTGGGATTTGATAAATTGATAATTGTCCTTCTTCTGTAGTTACTATTTAATTATAATGTACATTTATAGAATTTTGAAATTAGTTTGACAACACTCTGACAACTTATTTGTGATTGAAATTTAGTTGGCTCAATTAGAACAATTTTTTTTCATTGTCAGTATAAGCTGTCATAACATCACTGTTAGAAAATAATTATTATTTAAAATTAATAGCAATATTTTTGTAATTTATATCTTTTGTATTATATATATATATATATTAATTTTGAAATAATAACATTAAATACTTAAAAAAAAACTGGTGGCCAAAACTGGAAAAAATGTGTCTACAAATGGTGCAGTGGCCACAACTGGTGAAAAAGAACTTTTGAATAATTTAATTTTTTAAAAATAATAAATAAAATTTTGAAATATTTTGAATTACCGTAATCAATTTAATAACATATATTAGACTTGATAAAAACCCTATATGTCCACAATTTATAAGACAATAATTTGCCATATTTGAGAAACATGTAATGCATATTAAATTGGTTTCTGTAAAGCACAAAAAGGTAAAAATTAAAAAACATTTTTCGAGAAAAATGAAAAAAGTGACCATCATATTCAATATTTTAGTAGTAATATCACAATTTATTTTTTTATATTCCACAAAATTTTCAGCAATTTTACAGCAAAATTGACACATTTTGCCAATTTGTAAATTTCCACGGTAAATATTTGCTGCATAATTTAAAATGCAATGAAATTGTTTCCCTGTGACGGGACCTGAAGAATTTGAAGTATTATAACAAATAATATTAATTTCTTTTGAAACTTTTTAAAAAATATTGAAAGTTACAATTAATAACAAAATGACGCCGACATCCTCATCTAAACTTTATTGCGTAGTATCACAATTTTTATCTTATGAGAAATATATAATATACTTATAATTAATAATAAAATCTTTTGTCTTCTTTCAGTCTTTTTTTAAAATGTAACTTTTTGTGGATAATAAGTAAAAGGAATCATATTTAAGAGGTTTCGCCACCCTGAACGCCTGAAAATTGAACAGTATTTCAAAAATAAAGTTGACAAAAATATTAAAAATACAACTTTTTAATAATTATGGTTTAAAATACATGTATTTAACTTTAAATTTTTTTTAAATTTTAAAATATTCAAAAATGCCGGAAATTTCGCTTTTTTTCGGAAATACAGATTTTGGAGCGGTGTACATGTTTTCTCAGAAACTAATCAACCGATTCTCTTGAAAATTTGTACACAACTTCTCAATAACATTCTCTATGGCACGACCTAGCCGTTTTTGAAAAAAAATTTTTTGAGCAATTGGGAGCACTTCAGAAAAAAGAAAAAAAATTTTTTAAGTGCTACCATTTGCCCAAAATTTTTTTTTCAAAAACAGCTACGTGGTGCCAGAGAGAATGTTATTGAGAAGTTGTGTGTAAATTTCAAGAGAATCAGTTGAGTAGTTTCTGAGAAAACATGTACATCGCTTCAAAAAATGTATTTTCGAAAAAATGTCATATATCCGCCATTTTTGATTATTTTTAAATTAAAATTTTTTTTTTAATAGCAATATTTTTATAATTTATCTCTTTTTTATTATAAACAAGAGTAAAATAGTGAAATACCGTCCAATTTGCAGGCGTTGAGGGTGGCGTAACACATATACCTCTACTGAAAATCCCTGTATAAGATCTTGTACAATTTCCTGTACAGGATCAGCAACTGAATTTGTACTAGTTCTGACCAGTTCATGTACAGGAAAATGCATACGAATTTGGAACAAGTTCATGTGTGAGATCTTGTACAAGAAAGATACTTGTACAAGAAAATGTACATGATCTTGTACAATTTCATGTATAAGTACTTGTACATGAATACGTTCATGTTCTTGCACATGTATAGTTGTAAATTTTTTTTTTAATAAAATTTGAGATTTTTATAATTTTTAATCACTAAGATTCGTAACACATGCATGCTAAAAACTATTGCGTAGCTGTAAAATTAAAGTAAACTATTGCGCAGCCTTTGAAGTTTTTAATTTTTAGTAAAGAAAAACATGAATTAACATGTGCAAGAACATGGACGTGTTCATGTACAAGTACTTATACATAAAATTGTACAAGATCATGTACATTTTCTTTAGAAGTATCTTTCTTATACAAGATCTTGCATCAGATCTCACACAAGAACTTGTTCCAAATTCGTATGCATTTTCCTGTACAGGAACTGGTCAGAACTAGTACAAATTCAGTTGCTGATCCTGTACAGGAAATTGTACAAGATCTTGTACAGGGATTTTCAGTAGGGACATTTTAGTATCAGAATTCAGTTCTTCTTATTCATTAATTGTAATATATTTTTGTAAATTGTTTTCTATAATCATATTTTTTTCTGCATATTGGACAGAATCTTGAATAAGGATTGACAATTTGGTAATCTCCGTCTACGTATTCATAATCGTCGTCATCAACTATTGCGCGTTTGTGTCTATTCCAACATTCGTCGCAGTATGGTATATGTCCACAATTTATAAGGCAATGATTTGCGGTATTTTTGAAACATATAACGCATATCAAATTGGTTTCTGTAAAGCACAAAATGGTAAACATTAAAAAACATATTTTAAGAAATATGAAAAAAGTGAAGATGAGTTGTTTATTGTTTGCCCATTAATATACATTAAGCATATAAGAGGCGCAAGAATTTTCTCAAAATTTCAAATGACCTAACACATAATTGATCTAAATTCAATTAGTCTAAATGTCGTATAGACTAATTAACACATTTATGAACGTGAATCATAAGAGAGAAAAGAACAAAAATATGTTCCGTAACTATCCCTCTCATGATTCGCATTGATGAGCAGGTGAAAAAAAAAATTTAGGCCAGGTGACAATTATGTCAACACCTAATGAGAATTAGATTACATTAAGAATATGCGAATTGAGAATTAGATTAGATTAATATTAGAACAAATAACAATTAGGATGTAGTAAAATAGTATGATTAGGCCAAATGAGGTTTTATAAAGATTAGAACATTGTCATTTAGGCCAAGTGAGATTTAGGTGAATTAAGTGTTAGGTCATTTGAAATTTGGTGAAAATTCATGCGCCTCACTAAAAGGTGTGTGGGCACCTATATGGGGCACAATCATTGAAAATAATATTTCACAAGTACTTACCGGTAGCATTCGAATGTGATGGACCTGGAACTGCATCTGCATTTTCTGTGGAGAGAAGCATATAAACAATAATAATAATTGGTTAAAATATTAAAAATAATATTTCACAAGTACTCACCAGCAACATCCAGACGTGACGAACCTGGGATTGCATCTGCATCTTCTGTGGAAAAAATAAGTATGTAAATAATAATAATAATTGGTAATAATTTAATTACAGAATAATATTAGAACTAAATTAATTCGAAATTTGATTCACTAATAGGTAGTATGATTCTTCTATAAAAATTTCTTTTTATCCGCCTTTTTAAAAAAAATTCTAATTTAAACGAAATTGACGAAATTTGTATTTTTGAATAGCAGAATTTCACGGGCGGTATAGATTCTACACAAATAAAGCCTACACAAGAAAATTGCGCACCGATAATTTTACAAAAAAAAATCCTACACTTGGACAATAAGCAAAATAAAATTAATTAACAATTTTTTACTTTACACAATTAAATCAAAGATAATTTTATTCTACACATTTAATTGCACACAGGAAAACCCTACACCGTTAACTCTGAAAAAAAAAATTCTACACAATAATATGCGGAATAAAATTTAAAAACAAATAATAAAAATTCTAAACGATTAAGTACTACAAAATATAACCGTACACATTAAATTGCACACAGGAAAACCCTACACCGTTAACTCTGAAAAAAAAATTCTACACAATAATATGCGGAATAAAATTTAAAAACAAATAATAAAAATTCTAAACGACTAAATACTACAAAATATAACCGTACAAATTAAATTGCATTCAGGAAAACCCTACACGATTAACTCTGCACAACTCTCCACGGTTAATTAGAATTTTTTAAATTCTACACAGTCGACATGGCAACCCTGTTTTTTTCATAAATAAACATACTTATGAGTAAGTATATAAGGTGCAGAGTTAATCGTGTAGGCTTTTCCTGAGTGCGATTTAATGTGTACGGTTATATTTTGTAGTATTTAATCGTTTAGAATTTTTATTATTTGTTTTTAAATTTTATTCCGCATATTATTGTGTAGAATTTTTTTTTCAGAGTTAACGGTGTAGGGTTTTCCTGTGTGCAATTGAATGTGTAGAATAAAATTATGTTTGATTTAATTGTGTAAAGTAAAAAATTGTTAATTAATTTTATTTTGCTTATTGTACAAGTGTAGGATTTTTTTTTGTAAAATTATCGATGCGCAATTTCCTCGTGTAGGGTTTATTTGTGTAGAATCTATACCGCCCCGAATTTCACATTTATCGAATTTTTATTTCCTGGAATTGTTATTTGAATGAATTCTTAAAACACTGAATTTAAAATTTAATTAAAATTTAAATTATTAAATAAATTGCTCCTTTATTTAAGTAACTAATTAGAAATTATAAAAAAATGTTAGTTCGGGCATTAAAAATTTTGAATAAATGGAAATTTAAAGTTTTAAAAATAATATCGAATAACAATTCATGCAAATAAAAATTCGGTAAAATTAAGATTTGCTGAATTGGAAATGCTGACACTTAAAAATTTGAATGAATTAGAAACCTGTTTAATAAGAATTCTTTTTAAAAAAGATAGGAAAAGAAAAATGTTATAGAATAAGAATTTGTCAAATAAAAATTTGTTAGCCAAAAATTCTTTTGAGTAAAAACTTGAGTAAAAAAATTATATTAAATGCGAATTCAGAAAATAAAAATTCGTAAAAAAATAAATAATTATGTAGGGTCAGCCGGGGTAAATCCGAACGGGGGGTAAATCCGAACGCTAATTATTTCAGCTTAATTAAAATTTTTAAAAATAAGTTCGATATGAGAAATTTTACCTCAGATCCTCTTCAAGAGATTCTAAGTATTATCCCATTTTTCGTTTGTTAATTAGCAACAGCATAAACAAAGATAGCGAGTATTGCAAAAAAGATTGAAAATCAAAGATGACACTCTTTCAGTATTTTGTCTCGTGTTTGAAGAAAAAGAAGCTAAAAATTTATTTTATTATTTATAATTGTTTGTTATGAATACTAGAACAGAAACTATTTTTGATTTTTGCCTTCTGTAAAATTTTATTAATAATATCAGACCGTTCGTATTTACCCAGGAAAATTGGAAAACCGGGGTAAATCCGAACGGTATTTTCAATAATTTTTTTTTACATCAGAGCCACACAAAATTGTTTTTATTTCATTACACTATTATTTTAACATTATAAAAGTACATAGAAAAAAGTTTTTCTTTCTATATGTATCCTCGTTAGCAATTAATAAGTAGAAACTTAATCTCTGTTCTCTCGAAGGAGTGTTTCAATTTTTTTGGCAAATGGTTTGTTGAAAAAAGTTTTTCAGGATCTTAATAAAATTTGGTATTCTACGGTTTTTGGGGTCGCTAATTACCAATTTGAAGTCAGTTTTTCAAAATTCAAAATGTCGGACGAGAATTAAAAAATTCATTGGATTCGCTCGAAAATTGTTACTCGGAGGGTTTCAGGGTCGCTGATTACGAATTTTTGATCATTTTTAAAAATAAGTTTTAGGAAAGTCCGCCATTTTGAATTTAAAAAATTTGACTTTTATTTTTGTATTTACATTCAATCACTCCAAAATACTTTCTGTACCAAGTTTTGCAAAAATCCGTTATGATTTGATAAAGTTATTGAAGGTTTTAATTGTGTAATGCATTTTAATGTTTAACCTGTTTGATTTTTGTATTTATATATGATGCATTATTACATAATAGGTTTATTATCGTATTTTTTTTGAGTTTTTATATAAGGTTAACAATTGCAATACTTTAAATTTATTTTCCCTAAGATTTTTCTGAAATACAGTGGCGTTCGTATTTACCCCGGTATTTTAGGAAAGTTGCAAAGTATCGAGGTAAATACGAACGCTAAGTTTCCTGCGATTGTAATTTATCAAAAATTTTTGCTACCCCATAAAATTGTTCTATGGAAGTAAAGTAACAACTTCATGCACCAGAATACCGGAAGTATTTTTTTTTAAAGAAAAAACTTATGTTATTGTTGAAACTTACTAAAAGCGTTCGGATTTACCCCGGTTGACCCTAATATGAAAAAACTAATTACTGATATGTTTATAAAATTAAAATTTCTACTGTTAAGTGCTTTTGCACTAAAGGGTCATATTTTACTTTTTTTATTTGTAAGCCCATACATTGTAAATAAATATCTAAATAAAATAATTATGTGTTCTTACCCAGACGTAAGCTTGCAGCAAGCTTTAAATGTCCCACCTAGCCCAAGCTTGCATGGTAAGCTTGCCGAAAGATTGCACAGTAAGATTATCGCAAAATTGCATGGTGAGCTTAACGAAAGATTGCAGTGTAAGGTTGCTGCAAGATTGCACAGTAAGATTATCGTAAGCTTGCCGCAAGGTTGCTGCAAGCTTACGTGCTATCTGGGTAATTGATTACTTATATTTACCAATAACCGGTGATTCTTGTCTACTGTTCACAGGTTCTACGAACAATGGATCGTCAGGTACATTGATCTCAAAATCATTTTGGTCGTTTTCTTGATCATCATCAGCATCAACTTTTGTAGAAGCAAAAAAGTATGTAAACAATGAAAATCTTCATGTAATGAAATTGCCTAATTGTAAGGAGCATATGTGTTCTGACGCGGTGAAAGGGACCTTATGGTGCAATAGTAAATTGTACTTTTGAATGTTCATAATGAAAAATGAATTGAACAAAATAATTTCTAGTTTTTGGAAATGAAAGAGCAACTCAAATAATTTTATTTACAAAGACTAGAAATTATTTTGTTCAATTCATTTTTTATTATGAACATTCAAAAGTACAATTTGCTATTGCACCGTAAGGTTTCACCGCGTCAGGACACATATTGAATTAACTATTCAAACATTGGTCCATATTTATTATTATTATTACTCATATAAATATAACATTCCGAAAGTTTTAAACCCTCTCAAGTGCAAGTAATATTACACGCTTACTAGAAATACTTAAAAATTTCAAAGTTTTCTTCATGATAAAGCAAAAAAGATAATAATACTGGGTTGCATAGAAATGGTAATGTGTTTATTAAAAATTTCCTTTGTTGCTATTTTATTTTCCATAGCTTCAAAGAGTGCTAAAAAGGCATTTTTTAAATTTTTTTTGCATTTTAATCTTTTTTATGGAACTGACAGAAATAAAATTTTATTTTTGTATATCTAAATTTTCAATAAACAAAATAAATTTTAAATAAACACATCACCATTTTTTGTAATCCAGTCTTAAGTTAAAATGATAATGCTCATTGGACCAAATAATAGAAAAAATTAATTTGTTACATAATTACCATTTACTACATTCACTTCCTGTCTTGGAATCTTATATTCAAAAAATTGAATTGTAAATTTGTAAAATATATTTCCTGTTCTTGTTAAAAATTCAGAAATTGTGAGTGTCGTCGAATTTAAATCTTCCCATGCACGTTTAATATCCGTTCTCAATTCTTTTACTAACAATTTTGGCATTTGAACGAGTTTTTTTTTTCTTTAATTAACATATTCCTTTTGTCAGCGTGAATTCTCGCATTAATATCAGCCAAATTTTCTGTAATTTCAAAATAATTCTGAGTCGAACTTTCCTTAAACACAAGCATTAAATTCGTAAACTTACAGTTCAGGTCAGCACAAAAGCTTGCAACAAAGTTGCAGGAAGCTGGACATGCGAGTTGTGCAAGATTGACGTGCAAATTGCATCGAAAAAATTTGTATATTATAATAATTTCAAAAAAAAAAAACAGGCAAATTTAGGCATCGTGATGCAAGGACAGAATGTCCATTTTTTCATGGAAATGACAAATTTTATTTTTTATTCAAATTAAAAGGGCCAAAAAATTCGCATTTTTTGTTTATATTTAACATGTTGGACAAGCCTTTAAGCGGCGAATGTAGGTTCAATCCACAGCACCCCATAATTTGTTTTCAAAAGTTCTTGCTCAACAAGCATGCAGTGCTTGATTCAATGTGAATCAAAGCAGAGCAACAATGTTTGTATATTATTTATTTTATTTTTAATCCCAGATAGTAAATTTTTTTTATTGATAATAATAATAATAATAATAATAAAGATCTATCTATCTATCTATCTATCTATTATTATTATTATTATTATTATTAATATTAATAATAATATTAATACTTCTTAAATATTATTTTTGTATTTTTTACAAATATTTTCGTCCAACCTTTTCTGAAAATTTAATTTAAATTTTTAGGAAATGTTCGTCACAAAAATTGACTGAATATTTAAATTACATTTTCACTCAACTTTCGGTATAAATTTTTAATAAATATTTAATTTAAATTTTTAGTCAACTTTTACGCCAAACATTTCACGAAACTTTAATTTAAATCTTCACTCAATTTTCGAGTCGAAAATTTCTGGAAAATTTAATTTAAATCTTCCGTCAAGTTTTACGCCAAACATTTACTCATTTTGGACATTTAAATCTTTATACAATTTTCTTTAAACTTTGCAATTAAAGTTTCCGAAGTTTGCAAATAAATCTTTAGGAAATTTTCGGTGCTGTGGGGGTTAGTATGAAGAAAGGGTGAAGGAAAAGCGTCAGAAAGCAGGGGTCCTCTAGCCGCAGCGAAAATATCACATGTACCTGAAAAGCTCCACATTTTTGGAAAGTCCCCAATTTTTGTTGTTAGCGTATTATCATAATCTCTAAATATGTTGGTTGTGCAATTCAGGTCATTATAAACCGACATCTTTTCAATACTTATTTCCTGAAACCAGAATGTTTCAAAGCGTTCCAAAAATTGCTCAATTAAATTAAAATTTTCTTCCCGACTCGCTCTTCTCTTTAATTGCTCATAAGTAAATTCAATATCTTCTTCTGGGAGAAGAGGCAGCACAAGTAGCTTTAAAATCAATTTTCTTGTGTTTGAATCAACTTCACGGTTCATGTGTTGGTGTAATCCACATTCATTTATCATGTCATAAATGTGCTGAAGAGAAATAAAAAGTTTCAATGATAATAATAAATACTCAAATTTACAATGATTTTGATTTACAGAATTTGATAATAATTTCTCATGTAAAATTTTCTCTGAATCTGACAACTGAAAAGTTCCACGTGCGATGAGCCAAAAGTTCTGAACGTTCAAATGAACAAAATATTTTTTTAAGTCTATAAATTATTAAAAATTATAATGTTAGTGTAAAAAAACAATAAATTAAACAAATATTAAATTAATAACTTCTTTTTAGATATTTTAAACAATATTTTGTAATAAAATTCGTACCTAAAGAAGTTGCAAAAAAAATTTCGTTTATTTGAACTTTCAAAACTTTTCGCTCATCACGTGCGGGGTACATTATTATTGACAAATTGTCATATTTGACCTACACAACAAATAACGGAACTAACATTTTGATCCACACAACAAGTTACAAAAATGTCATTTTACCGACACGACATGTAACGAAACTGTCATTTTACTAACATATTTTAGTGCGAATTGAAAAATTAACGAAGTAAAAGTTATTATTAAAATTGTGATGTGTCAATTTTTAAATTCACGCTAAAATATGTAGGTAAAATGACAGTTTTATTACATATCATGTCGGTAAATGACAGCGCTGATACGTATCATATGAGTTAAATGACAATTCTTCTGTTATAAGTCATTTTGGTTTCAATTTTAGAGATGTGACCAAGCCATAATAATATAAATATAGTACTTTTTGATATGATGGCAAGTTAACTTTTATCTCTGTCCCAGGAAACGAATCAGCGATGGCTTTTCTTAATGTATGGTTAGGACTTGTAATAACTTTGTCAAAATAGAAGGTTGGATACAATCTTTTTAATTTGTTAAATATTTCCAAATACTCTTCTGAACTTTCTCCTTCCATTAATATCCAAGTTGAAGGTAAAACCTAAAAAAATCATACCAAGAGACAGAAACTTTAGGTATGCTTTTTACACTCTCTCACAAAATTTACAGTTATGTTGCAATTATGCAATAATTATGATCTTAAAAGTTTACTTTTATGCTTTGATTATGCTTTACATCTGGGAAATTTTTATTTAACAGTGTTAAACAGTGTCTGAAATTCTTTGGCTTAGAGAGACCTTTAATTATCGGCCTATAAAAAACGGCACTGAATGTAGAAATGTTAAACATTAAATGTGGCACGATCTGAAGAAAGGGACCTTAGAAGCAAAAACTTGTAGGTTACGTTTTGAAATTTTAAAGTGAAATTATACAAAGACGTTTAACTTGTAATGCAAACTAATGATATTTAGGTCTTCATTACATCCAAAATATTCAATAAAAACTGATTTCACTTTTACAAAAACAAAAATAAACTTTTAGTTTGAGTAAAACTGTCGTAAACATAACCTATAATTCATTTGCTTCTAAGGTCCCACGAAGTAAGAATAAGGAGTCTTCACTTTGAAGGAAAAATGTCCCCAAAACTGGTAAAAGCATTCCGGAAAATTATAATAGTCGGAGGTGACGTTCGTAACGGGAAAAACCTTAAACTATTGATTTCCCTAATGAAAGTCGTCTGCTATTTTTGAAAAGTATATTATAAAATCACATAATTCCATATTTTTGAAAAATTAAGTAATTGAATGAATAGTAAATGTTACGAACGCCTCCGACTATTATAACTTTCCGGAATGCTTTAAGGAAGTTCTCTCCCTCCAACGTCAGTCAAATCAATGCCCATTTAAGTTTTCATTTGTATCACGTAGTATTAGCTCAACGCTTGGCAACGTTGGATTATATTTCCCCCGTTCCGTTTCGTGTCGTCTGCTATTGTTTGATTTATTTTCGTTAAATAATAATAATAATAATTTATTATTTTAAAAATCTTAATTTTTTATAAGCAAATTCAAATTATTATTCATTATTATGAATCTTTGAAGAATATACTATTATATGTATATACTACTTATATTACTTTCAAATTTCGCGCTTTTTCTATACCTAACCTACAAGACGCAACGTTGCCAAGCGTTGTGCTAAGTAATTTCGGATTGTCAAAATACGGTGTTTTTTTAGACAAAATAATTAATTGTGAGTCTCCTAAGCCAGGTCTGATCAATTTTATTAAAAGTAAGTGAACATTGGCTATTAAACTTTATGTATATAAAGTTCCAGTAATATCTTTTCGTCAGATTTTTCACAATTTGAGATTTCAGACCAAAAAATTCAATTTCCCATAAGAACCCGTGTTAAATGTGAAAAGAGAAAATTATTTATATCTTTTGTCAAAATCCACCTAGACCTCTAAAAATTTAACTACATCTTCTTTAAACCATTATCTATCAGTTTATCAAGTTTGATAATTAACTCTTCGTCATTTCTGTTTGCGAGAGAACTTCCTTAACCAGATTTGGGGACATTTTTCCTCCAATCCACGCATGGAGTGAAGACTCCTTATTCTTACTTCGTGTAAGGTCGCTTTCTTCATATCGCGTCACAAATTTAAAAAACTTTTTTCTCGAAAAACAGACACTTTAAAAAATTCGCCAACATATACCACGGAAATTCTTATCTTATAAATGTTCAGAAAGATTCTTCGAATTACATTATCGAATTATATTAATTTCTTATTTCCAATTTTACAATCGCTTTTTTACTGTGTTTCGAATAATCTTTTGGATATAGGAAATTTAAAAAAGTGGTATACGTTGGTCAATATTGTAAAAAGTGTTTGTGGTTTGATACAAAATTATTTTAAAATCAATGTACATCATTTTCACGTTCAATGCCGTTTTTATAGAGCGATAATTAAATGTCTCTCTTTCCTAAAGAATTTCAGAGACCGTTCAAAACTCTTATGCTAAAAACGATTAATTATCTCTAATAAATCTAAAATTGTATTATTCAAACGAAAAAGTAATGCCTCCTCTTTTTTTCAGATGCTTTAATAACACTGTAAAAATGTTAATTGAATTTTACTGAATTTTCATTTGTTCGAATTCATTTATAATTGAATATAAATATATAATATAATGGAATTTTTGTTATATAACAATTTTTAGGCGGGGAATTTAAATTTTGTTTTTAAATATTTTTGAAACACAATTCTATAGAAAGAATAAATGATGAATAAATTTTATTTGTAAAATTGAATAATTTTAAAATGAATTTATTTTTCATACCTTTATATTTTTCGAAAGTATTTCAAATTCAACTTTTTTCCGCCTAAAAATGTTATTTTTGTAAAATATAGACTCGTGTCCAAACGTCATTAAAACTATACAGCGTCAATCCATTACATTTCACCTGAAATCGTTGTTATTTATTTTTGATGGACTCTGATAATTAGCAATAATTATATATATTCGTAATTTAATTTATTTATAATAATTCTTAACAGTCATTTGTATGTATATCGAAAAATTATTATTACGAACTGTCAGATTTTTCAAATATAGGTAGCAAGGACTTTAGGTAAAATGTAATGGATTGATCCTATAACAATAATAAAATGAATTATTAAATAAATACTTACGTAGTTATCTACTATTTTTAAAATTGTCATAAGTTGATGACACCAAGTTTTTGAAGAAATGCATTTTTTTGAAATGTGAATTATGAAGTCTCCATCCGTTAAAAATTCATCTGCTAAATTTATATCATATATTATGATGGACCTTTCCTCTATAGTATACTTTAAGCACATTCCATCCTCCCCTAAAAAACGCCTCCATTGATTTTGGTTTATAGTTTCAACAAACGACTTGCTGCTATTAATATCATTTGGAACAGCTTTGTCACATTCTCTTGCCATCGATCGTTGAATCTTTTTAAAATATAAACTTTTTGCTGCATTCCCATGCCTGAAATAGGTATAAAGAGCATCTGACCATTTTTGATAAATGAGGAGCTGGATATTAGAACTCGCTCTCCGCTCGGCTGAACTCCGTAGAGCCAGTCAAACGTTCGAAAAAATGATAAAAATTAAAATATAATTAGTTTTTCACATTGAAATATAAATTCCTATATTATTATTATTTTCTATTCACAATTAACATTTACAGTTTTTTTGCCGTTTTGAATAAATGGTAAAATATCGTTCTTTAAAATTTTTTGTTTTATTTAAGTTTTAATTATACTGTGTCTAAATCTGAAAAATTTAATATTTACTTATTGTAAGTCTAAAATCGTTCACGTAAAAAAATAAGTGTATATTTATTTATTTTAAATTTATATGCACTTGTTTTTTTACGTGGACGAGTTTTGACATATTCGAATTTGGAGAGTATAAAATAAAATATTGTAAAATTTTGGTTTTATGATTTTACCAGGTTTATAAACTTTAGAAAATAAATATGATCTGTGTAATATTTTAGACATAATATATATATTTTACCATTTATTCAAAATGACAAAAAATTTGTAAATTATACCTATCTGTTTAATAAAAAAACATTAGAAATATTGGATTAAACATTGTAATATTAATTGTAAACAAATGTTAATTGTGAATAGAAAATAATAATAATATAGGAATTTATATTTTAATGTGAAAAACTAATTATATTTCATGCACGCAACAGCTGACTGTGCGAGTAGCGTTGGACTTACATGCGGGCTAAGCGCGCTTTCTTAAAACTTCAATAACTTTAAAAATTTTCAATGAATTGATTTAATATTTTACAGAAAACTTCCTTATATAGTGATAAACAAATGTCTCACTGGAAGTTTTCTGAACTACAAAGTTTCCCGCAGACTTTTGTCGATGAAAGAAATAAAACGTTA